AGGAAAATACAGAAAGAGCTAGAAATGCAAGTTTTGATGTGCTCTTCCACTGTCATTAAGGAACTGTGATACATGCCAGGGACTACAGCAGCTTAAATCTCAACTCTTGGTACTCAGGCATAATGTGAGCCAAGCACACAAGCACAGCCACCAGTATTTATGGAGAGGACTCTAACGTGGAGGGAGCCTGTTCATCCACTTGACACATGTAAAATTACGATTCTCCCTTCAGATGCATTTTGTTGTATTTATATTAATCCAATTTTACCTGACATTTTCCCACTTCACTATTCAATACCAGGGCCCTCAACAATCCTTTGTTGTCATCCTTCACATGCACTCTCAGGGATTTAGCCTCATCCTGGGCACCTTGCTACCCGCCTCCCTTCCCAGAGCGCTCAGGCACAGCCCGAGCAGTGCAGCTCCACTGGTGACCACCTCTGCAAACCCACCCCAGCCACCTCCACTCCCTGTGCTGCCATAATAAGCATAAGAAGAGGAAAGGCAGCCCTGTGGACAGTTTACTTTTGTTGAGAATATTTTCAGGGACCTAATCAAATGCCATTTGTAAATGAAATTAATCTACATCAATCCAAGCTTCCTTGCCTACACACTCACTGGTCTCTTCAAAGAGCTCCAACAGATTTTAGATTCATGATTCCTCTCCAGAAAATCTGTGCTGTCACTTCCCCAGTATATCACGGTTCATCATGTGCCCCAATTCCTTCCTTCAGAACAGTTTCTGCTCAGTTGCCTGGCACAGACATCAGGCCTGCTGGTAAGAAGAGGCATAATCATGCTGTGGATTATCACGTTTTTCATGAAGTACAGGGTAGTGGGCACAAGATTTATAATAAACTGTAGTGTCCCTCAGCTGGGCTTGCTTGTGAGAGCCAAGGTAATTTCCAGATGTCTCAGTATTGCAAGATACAAAATTAGAGATAATGACCACTTTGGCTACTGCTGGATCCTCTTTTTGTTTGACTAAAAAAATAACACAGAAGGAAAGATTTGATAAGTTTATTTCTCCTGGGAAAAGACTGAAGTAGGCAGAAATATAAAATTGATAGAGGAGCCTGCCTTCAGAAAGCATCCTGCCTGTGGGGAAAAAAGAATGACTACAGGCAGAAAGTATCACATAAGCAGCAACACTATGCAAAAGAAGGGTTGATATAAAGAGGATTGGAGGGGAGTCATCTGACTCCCAGCATTCCAAAAAATGCTGTCATGTAGCATTACAAAACAATTCCATTGCAGGGCATGTAGAAGAGGAGGCAATTGTGATAAACCATCCTTTTAGCAACACACTAAGATGCACTCCATTTGTTTCCCATAGGCATAAACTCATGTAACATTCACTGAATCTCAAACACTGGAACTTGACTGTCATTGAAATCCAATTTGAATGTTTCTGAGTACAATGAAGAATTCATCGGTTAATCTTTCTGGAGCAGAATAAAGCCCCCATAAACCAAGATGAAATCGTTAGTGACCTGCTAACAGCACTTACACACAAGTCTATAGAGCCAGACAGAATCCATCCAAGGGTACTGAGGGAGCTGGCAGAAGTTCTCTCTGAGCCACTTTCCATCAGCTATCTATCTTGGCTAACTGGGGAAGTCCCAGTTGACTGGAGGTGAGCAAACATGATGCCCATCTACAAGAAGGGCCAGAAGGAGCATCCAGGGAACTACATGCCTGTCAGACTAACCTTGGCACCCAGAAAGGTTATGGAGCAGATCACCTTGAGTGCCATCATGCAACACATACAGGGCAACCAGTTGATCAGGCTCAGTCAGCATGGGTTTATAAAAGGCAGGTCCTGGTTGACTAATCTGATCTCCTATGAAAAGGTGACCCACTTGTGGATGAGGGAAAGGCTGTAGATGTTGTCTACCTAGATTTTAGTAAAGCCTTTGACACTGTTTCTGACAACATTCAGATGGGGGGGGGGAACCATTTTAGTGCCTTTATTTATGTCCCACTGCCCTCTTCGGGTGCTTCCCAGTGTCTCCCCATCATATGCCAGAGAATACCGTGTACACTTCCTTCACATCACCTGCTTTCCTCCTCAGCCAGCCTCCCACAGTCAGTCTGTTCTTCCACCAAATCTTGTGCTTAGTTCTTTCTCTTACTTCACAGGTTTCAAATCCTTCTTATTCCTTCCCTCATCAGACATTTCAAAGACTACTAGCTCAGTGAAAGATGACAAGCTCTGGCCTCTCCCACCCTCTTTTCCCTGCAAATACCTATCTTTATTTTTCTCACTATAACCATTACTGATGCTTTCAAGCTGCTGCCGCTACCCCCTCTGGGGGCTGCTGTGATTTCCTCCTCTTCTCTCTTTTGCAACCCCAATCCTTTCATGTCTTCTGTTCTAAAAGAATACTTATTGTGTTTCAGCATGCTGCCTCTCTGGGACAGATGCCCACTTTGTCTCTGAAAGAGCACCTGGCATGCTGTGGGCATAAACAGTCCAGTAATGGTAGATCTGACATCAAGATTGCAGCAAGGTTGACAGAGAGCAGCAACAGGGAGGCTGCCCTAGGATGGGCCTTAGCAAAACAGATGAAAAATAAAGGATCTTAGAAGTTGCTAGTGATGAAGAATGCCACTCAAAGCCTTACCTTCTCACACCAAGCAGCCTTCCGGCGGGTTACAAGCTCATGCAGCTGGTCACGGAGAGTCATCAGATCTCTGGATAATCTGTCAATGTGCCCAGTCAGACTCTCAGCCCAGGGGCAGCAGGAGGTTGCCTTTGGCAGCTCACTCCTCTCCACATGAGCACCCTGGGACTTGCACGTATTTCCCTCTTCAGCCATATTATCTAACACTGTTTCCTAAAGGAAAAACAAAGTTTATTTTTAGCAGGAGCTAAAATGGCCTCCTCCCCACCTTTCTGGTAATTCATAACTAGGAATTTGCTGCTGCCATCTCAGCATACAGTTGCTCCACAATTTCAGAGTTATTTTGAGAGAGAACCTCATCAGTTCACTATAACATATTTCTAACTTAACAGAAAACTTATGTTGCTAACCTAGCTTCCTTTAGAAAGCACTACATACTGTGAGCTGCTCTCCACTGCACTAAAGCATAAAGTAACACTCATGAGACAGAGATCACGAGTACTGCAGAAGTTCTAAATCTACCTCTTCCCCACAAACTCTGAGGATGGATGCACCTTGGTGGCTTTTTGTAACAAAGTGATGACCAGGATGGAGACACAAGCTTACACTGTTCAGGAGAGATCCACTCTGGCTTAATTCACAGGAAGAGATTTCTAGTCTCATACAAGAAAAGACATGATAAGATAGCCAAGAATGGCAAAAGACACCCTACAAAACCTCCTCTCTCAGTGAGCATCAGCATTGCAAATGGGCATAACTCGACACTGAGTCCAGCAGCTCCTGCTGGGCCAGCTCCTAACAACACAGACATGTTCTGGGCACAGACAGGGTAACACAGTGCATGGGAATAAAACAGAGCTTTTCTGGTCATGTTGTATTTGTTTGTTTTGCTGTAATTTGAAATTCATCAAATGAAAGCATTGCAAAGTAACAGTACTGCAGTCACTTCAGTTCCTGCCCACAACCCTGATCCATTAAATCAGCAATACAAAACACGGGTTAAGTGGAAAAAGAAAATTACTGTATCCTCAAAGCACATCTCATGCCCATACATGTTGCAGCAACTCAGAACAACCACCATCATCATCAAAAGAATACAAAATGGCAAATTCACCATCCAGTCTGTTGAACAATTTAAAAATATGTGCTTGTGAGGTTTTTTTGCAAGTATTTATTTAGGACTTAACTCCAGGAAGCACATTAACACTCAACAGTACTCCCCACACCTTTCAACATGTCAGAGGCAAAGGTTTTAGAAGATACATTGAAACGCCCTAACACTTGCAGTTACATTTTGACTATTTGGAGCCAGACTTCTTGCTAGTGTTGATGCCTTCCAAACAACCACAAGATAGACATATAAAGCAAAAATCACTATATAACTAACGGCAATTTGAATGGCTCTGCATTGGGAAGATGCTTCAAGACAGGTGAGGTAATTTTACACTCCTTTGCCTTGCTTTTAGTGTAGAACAAGGCATATGGGCAATTAACAGTCAGCTCACTGATTCTCTAAAATTTTGTGAACTCATACAGCTAATGTGGGACTCTAAAGAATTGTTTTCAGCAACTGTGAATGGGTAAAAGTTGTAGAGAGAAGTGAGATGGATGGTACAGTTCACACTCAAGCAAGAAATTTTAAGATGCATGGAGAAAGGTTTATTGATTTTCTTATGATCATCCAACACAGTTGAAGGGGAAATTGGCAATTGCAACACATTATTTGGCTGGGAAAAAATGAAGCTGTTTTCAATATCAGCTGCTTGCAAATGTAGTTGTTCTCAAGTCTGCAATAAAGCTTAGGGGCCCTCCGCTGAAAAGCCATTTCATTTTAACAAAATGTACGATTGCTATGTTTAAAAAAACATTAAAGAGATGAAGATCAAACATTTTCATTTGTGTTAACTGTACGAAATTCTGCCACTCTGCCCTGCAATTCCTCAGCTTAGCTGGGTGAATCTCACTCAAGAAAAACAGAAGGATGAAGGAGAACTAAGAAAACACTCCTTACTTTACCAAACATGTTTCCCTTCTTCTCAAGTGCTGTTGAACAGCTAGCTTGCAGCATTTATTTTTGTGGGAAGGGGCCTTTGAAAGTGGTGAGCTATTTCATCATAGAATGGTTTGAGTTAGAAGGGACCTTAAAGATCATCTAGTTCCAACCCCCCTGCATAGGCAAGGACACCTCACACTAGATCAGGTTGCTCAGGGCCCCATCCAACCTGGCCTTGAATGCTTTCAGGGATGGGACATCCGTAACTTCCCTGGGCAACCTGTTCCAGTATCTCACCACCCTTCAGATACTAGAAGGCTGATATAAGGTCTCCCCAGAGCCTTCTCTTCTCCAGGCTGACCAACCCCAACTGTCTCAGCCTGTCCTGGTAGGAGAGGGGCCATGAAGATGATCTGAGAGCTGGAGCACTTCTCTGGACTTTCTCCACAAGCTCCATGTCCTACTTATGTTGGGCACTCCAGAACTCGACAAGAGCCAAGTAAAGGAGGAGAATCATCTCCCTTGACCTGCTGGCCACACTTCTTTTGATGCATCCCAGGACACAGTTGACTTTCTGGGCTGCAAGCACACATTGCTGGCTCATGTTGAGCTTCCTGTCAACCATCACCCCCAAGTCCTTCTCTTCCAGACTGTTATCAATCCATTGTCTACTCAGCCTGTATTTGTGCTTGGGATTGCCCCAACCCAGGTACAGGACCTCACACTTGGCCTTGTTGAACTTCATCCAGTTTACACAAGCCCACCTCTCAAGCCTGTCAAGGTATTTGTTAGACTCAAGAAAGCTGCACCCTTTGAAATTAGTTTGATTCATTACCATCCACTGCCAATAAACTGGTTCCAGTTGCTTCCACTCCAGAAAGGCTTCTAGTTGCATGGTTTCAGACTCCAGAAGCTGCAACATCTAGAGGAAAGGAGACAAAAGAAAAATCTGGTTACATTGGTCACTTGTAAACTAAATGAAATGTGTGTTTGGTCTAAATTACAAAAAGGTGTAGTGGTACATGGGACAACAGTGGGCTGCTTTACAAGAACATGACAGAACCAGCTGCATAAACATGATGTGAAACACTTTTCTCAGCATCACTGATTTATTCCTCACCCCAAATGTGCAAACACCCTCAGCTTTTACATCTATAAACATAAGTTTCCATATTGTTTTGAGGGATCAAAGAGCCACAATTCTGATTATTTCACAACATAGGTGCACGGCCATCTTCAAATCTTCTACCCTTCTTGACTACCAAAATAAGCTCTGTTTCTCCAAGGGCACTTTTTTCATCATTCAATCACTCACCTTTATCAAGCCTGCAAGGCCTAAACACCATCTCTCTTCCAGGCCATGTACATGTTCTCTTAACTAACTCTTACACAGTTGGTCTTTAACTGGGTATCCTCATATTAAATACTGATGATATGTAGCAATATACAGCTACCTCAGCTGGATACCCAATGTATCTCCCACCCATGCTGCTCCTAATTCTGTAGAAAATTCAGAATTCTGTTATTTCCAGTCTCCCCTGCCTCCTCCTTCAAAACTTTTCATCCCTTATTCAGATCAAACACTGAGATGATCTCTGATGCTTCAAAATAGCATGGAAGAACTCTCTCTAAAGATGTCATGTATTTTATAAATTCTCTGATCTGCTACATATGGAATCCCTCCCTTTAACTGAGAGCATTTGAAGGAGAGAGGTTATGTTCTAGCTCTGCAAACTATAGTTTTTTCATCAATATATGCACAACAGGCATGTACACACACATGTATACAGAGAAAGAGACATTAAAAAGCTATATATTTACATAGCAATCAAACAACATCTCGGAAAGACTTCCAGACTAACAAATTAGGTATAAATCAGAGTTTATCAGCTTTAACCATTTCAGTACTGACCATATACTTGAAATGAACAATTTTAACAGCAATCTGACACCCAAGACTTCTGAAGATGACACACAAACAGTACATGGTCTCAAAGAGAATGCTAAGAACCAGATCAGTACCAGTTAAAATCACCTTGTACAGACAAGTATCTTCTGTTAGCTTTGTTGGGTTAAGTTACTTACTACATATCATACCATTTAAGTAACCGTAAAACACGAGTTGACTCCGCAGTTTTATCCTGCTGATATAACTTGAAGACAAGGAAACCAAAGAAAGGAACACAGTTTGTAAGAGTAACTGCTGGAAATTATGAGCAGTTTGCTCTAAAACACTGCTGAATCCCAAATACAATTATTAGACATTTGTTTGCACAACTGACACTTGGCATTACACTTCATGACCCTGCTAGTTTCAAGCTCAGCTGGTATATGGAAGGTGGAAGAATGGTTTTCTGATTCCTTTTTTGTTTCCTTTTTTTTTCCTAGCTTTATCTATAGCACAAGTGGCTCACAATATGCCACCCAATGCTGGCCATAAAAACCCAGCCAAAAAGTTTATTAAATATTCAGGCAACAGCTAAGTTAGTGATTTTAAGTAGCACTGTAATGTGGTCATAAGCTGTGTGTGACTGCATTGTGAACACCTTGTGACATCTAAAGAGGGCTGAAGGTTGGAATGGGGAGCTTTTCCTATAATGGTAGGAGTTGGAAGGGATCCCTGGAGACCATTTTGTCCAACCCCCATTCCAAAGCAGGACCATCTAGGGCAGGCTGCACAAAAACATGTCCAGGCAGGTTTTGAAATAGCAGGAGACTCCACAACCTCCCTGGGCAGCCTGTTCCAGTGGCTTCATCACCCCTAGAGTAAAGAAGTTTATGTTCATGTTGAGGTGGAACTTTGTGTTCCTGTTGTTGTCCATTGCCCCTTGTCCTATCACAGGGCATGACTGAAAAGAAACTGGCCCACTCTTCTTGATACCCACCCTTCAGTTATTTACATACATTAACAAGATCCCCTCTCAGTCTTCCCTTCTCCAGACTAAACAGCCCCAGGTCTCTCAGCCTTTCCTCATAAGACAGGTGTTCCAGTCCCTTCATCATCCTCATGGCCTGCCAATGGACCCTCCCTAATTTATCCCTGTCCCTCTTGAACTGGGAAGCTCAGAACTTGACACAATACAAAAAAAAAAATCTTAGTAAAAATAGTAATTTTCTTTAGTTTTAGTCTGACTAGAGGAGCTCCTGAATTTAAAAGAAGCCACACACCACTTGTTTTCAGATCATGAATGAAAGGATATGGTTCTGAAACTTCACCAAACCTGTAAATGATCTGTTGGAGTTAAGTGACCTCAGGAACAATCAAAGCTCCTCATCTCAAGCCTTTCAGGATCTTCAGCTTTTGGGTTGTTTGGGGGTGGAGGGGCTATGAATTTTTTAAATTATTTTTTTAAGGGCTCCACTAGTTATGCAATATTTGAAAGCATTCTTCTGACTCACCTACTTATGGCATGCTCACCTTTCACTAAAGTATTACCACCTTCAGAAATATCAGGCCAGCAACTGTGTGCTAGATTGTTTCAGCCGTAAAGCAGTAATGGGATGACTACACAGCTCATCCTAGGAGGACAGTTTTCAGCCTAGTTGGAATTTAACGTGACAGCACTAGGCAGCCTGCAATAGCCAACATTTGAGTTTCTGTCCTGAGGGACTGAAGACACTGTTCCTGGATGCCAGTTTTCTCTGCCATCTTTTATATGAGCCTTGCAAGACTCTGATGTTATTGTAGCATGGAGAATAAAGCAGAACACAATAGAAACTAATGTACTACAAATATCCTTGAGAAACCTTAGCAAAAACCTTAAAAAAAAAAAAGTTCAAGGAAGGGACAGGACAATGGGCTGTATGTCTGCATGCCAGGAATTTGGTCACAAGGACAGCCAGGGGTGACAGGCCTTTGTTGAGACACCCGTACTTAGCAAATGAGCAACTATCTGTATCAGCCAGCTTCTTTTCTCCAACCTTCTTCCTTCACTCAAGCATCTCAGGAGCATTTATTGCTGGTTAAACTCTGCATTTTGTGACTCGAAGGTCAATGGTGTACATGTTCTTAGGTCACTCATTGCAGTCACAGCACAGCTAGTATTTCAGCTGTACTTGCAATCGAGGAAAACAAAGCCCAAATTGTACCTCTGCATTTTCCCCAAATACAGGACCTTTTCTTACACATTTAGTACCTAAGTCCACAAAGAGATGCTTTTACATATGATCAGCAGTTCCACTTCTGTTGCCACAGAAAATGCAAGAGAAATTTGCAAGCTGCAAGTAAAGCTGCCTGCCCATTTTCATTGACCTAAGGGCCAAGATGTTGTCATTCCTCCTATTGAAATTTAAAGACTAACATCTGCAGAAGAGCATTAATTTTGTCTCATGAACAAAGTGAAGCAGCAAGTAAAAAATGTGCCTCACGTGGACGTCTAAATGATGCTTAGGGATAACATAAGAAAATTGTCTTTCCCTCCATGCAAAATTAAGACAAGAAAACCAACTTCCTTCATTCTTCTGGAAAAAGTTATTGCTCTAAAATACATACACTGAGAGAAGAAATAATGACAAATTCAAATTGCAAACCTCTGTGGAGAAGTAATTCCATAATGAATGCTGAGAGCAAACACTTTGCAGTAACAACTTCCCTAAACCACGGTAAAGAAACCATCAGTGGTGCAAACAACTTGCAAGCAGCAGCTTTGCTATAGAGGCTAAACTGTGCTTAACTGAGCTGTCTCAGAGCCAGCTGCCAGGAAACCTCAGAGTGATGCAGAAGAATGCAAACTCTGTAAAAAACAAGCCTCACTTCCTCTGACATGCAGCTGTGATCTCCAAAGCCAAACATCCCACATCGAACACAGTTCACGGAACTTCTGAAACTTCAGCTGCAAAAATCATAGGTGACAACACCTTCTAAGTGGTTTTGGATACTCGACAGGAGACCAAAGTTGAGTCCTCTTTGGTATCCACAATCTAACCCACACCAAAAAATTATTTAAACATATTTGTAATTACTTTTTCTGTTGAGATATTAATCTTTTTCCTATCATTTACTAGCATATTGCTAAATTCACTGATGCCTACAGACAGTTACAGAAATCAATATTTAATAATTTGCACCATAAAGCATCCTTTTCATAGGCTCAGTTCCAGAGAGCTCTCTGCAACAAGTATTTAATCTCTTATGCCAATAGATCATAATTCAACTACCAGATCACTGGCAAAAGTATTTTTAATAAAAAATTTCTCTACCTAAGCATTCAGAAAATCATCCTATTGCTAGACAGACAAAAAAAAAAAAAAGTGGCCTTTCAGCAATAAATTGTTTCTCATCTCATTCATAGGCTCAGTTCCAGAGAGCTCTCTGCAACAAGTATTTAATCTCTTATGCCAATAGATCATAATTCAACTACCAGATCACTGGCAAAAGTATTTTTAATAAAAAATTTCTCTACCTAAGCATTCAGAAAATCATCCTATTGCTAGACAGACAAAAAAAAAAAAGTGGCCTTTCAGCAATAAATTGTTTCTCATCTCAAACAAAATATTGCTGATTGATCAACTCTTCACATATGACTGTAGACAGAAAACTTGTGTTGGACTCCAGATCCCTGCAAACCTCACTCCAAATGTCAGCATCTCAATTATGACTCAAGGCTCTAGACAGGGTTGGCTTAGTATAAAAGCTTATATGGGGAAAGTATCAAGAGACTACTTCATACATTTAATAGGAAATGGCTTTACCCCACTTCAAATTTTGGTAATACGAATACTACACTTCTGAATATCTAAGAACTGCAGGAGAAAAGAAAAGTAGACAAGTTACTCCCAAAAAAATGCAAAAAGTCTTTAGAAAGCTAACCAAGTAACAGATGAAATTAACACATTACAACACAGCTTTATCTCTACTACCAATACAAAACTCCAACCATCACAAGATGGATTGTTCAGAAAGGCTTCTGAATGACAAAAGTA